TCATGGCCTGACCTGTGGGACCTGTGGGGCAGGTGGGAACTGTGGGACTTCTGCTATCTGTGGGGCATGTGCGGCCTATGGGACGTCTGTGGCCCTGTGGGACCAGTGTGGCATTTGGGGGGACCCCTGTGGGACCTGTAGGACCTGTGGGAGCTGTGGGAACTGTGGGACCCGCGAGACCTGCGAGACCAGTGGGACCTGTCGCACCGGCAGGACTTGTGGGACATGTGGGACCTGTGGGACATGCGAAAAATGTAAGATTTGCGGGACCTGCGGGACCTGTCAGACCTGTCGGACCTGTGAGACCTGCGAGTTCTGCGACACCTGGATCCAGGAAAGTGGCCCACGCTGGGGCGAGAGCGCCATTCTGAACGACGTGAGCAAAACACCGATCCGAAAATTAGTCCAACGCTGCAGCGAGAGCACCATTTCGAAAACCGCAAAACAGCTGGAGTGAAACAAGAACGTAGGAAAGACCGAACAATGGCATCCGGTATGTAAAAACAATACGCGGGAAGGGGGGAGCCACGCCCCCGGCAACTTCGCGGGAGAGAGGAAAGTAGTGCTCAGATTGAGTAAGTACTGAGGAGGAGGAGGAGGAGGAGGAGGAGGAGGAGGGGGAGGAGGAGGAGGAGAGGCAGGAGGAGGAGGAGATTGAGGAGGAGGAGGACGACGACGACGACGACGGCGACGACGACGAGGAGAAGGAGGAGGAGAAGAAGAAAAGGCAGAAAGAGGAGAAGGAGGAGCAGCAGCAGGATCAGGAGAAGGGAAATAGGGAATGTAAGCAGGCTGGGGAGGCGGAGGGAGGAGGAAGGAGGAGAAGGAGAAGGAGGAGGAGGAGAAGGAGGAAGAGGAGGAGGAGAAACGAGGAGGAGGAGGAGGAGGAAGAGGAAGAAGAAGAGCAAGAAGTGATGGGGAGGATGAAGAAGAGGTTGTCGGGAGGAGGAGGACGAGGACAAGGAGGAGGAGGAGGAGGAGGAGGAGGAGGAGGGGGAGGAGGAGGAGGAGGAGGAGGAGGGGGACAAAGAGGTCGTCCTGCCTGAAGGCCGAGGCGCAGTGCGGGGCACGCCAGCACACTGCGCGGGATTGAACTGAGGGGAAGTATGTGAAAACATAAGAAAGATGTGTGGAAATTGTATGTTTGGTCAAGTTCCCCCCCCCTCAGCTCAGTGAGGCGGGAAGCGGGGCGAGGGAGGGGGAGGAGGGAAATGAGGGGGAGGGGGGGCAGGAGGATAGGAAGAATAAGGGAGCGGAGAAGAGGGAGCAGGCGAGAGGGATACAGGAGGGAGGGATGAGGCGACGAGCCCTCCCCTTTCCCCATCCCCCGAGTGATCCTCCCTCTCTGGTCCTCATCTAACTTCTTGGGTATGTCGTGGGGCCCGCCTGGGGGGCTCTTGGAGGTGTCTTGAACATGTTCTCGTAACCGCTCGGCGGCGCCTGTGGTGGCCTCTTGGGGTCTCTCGGGCACGCATGTTGGGACCTCTTTGGGCCTTTGGGGGCCTCCTGGGGGTCTAGTGGGAGCTCTTCTGCGTTTGGGGAGCCTTCTGTGGGCTTCTTCAGCGACTCCTGGAGGCTCTTCGGAGGCTCTTTGGGGCCTTTGGGGGGGGCCTCGCGGGGGGTGCATTTTCGGGCGTCTTGATGGCCTCTTGAGGTCTCTTCGGGCTTTTTGAGGCTGCTTGGGGCGTCTATTGGGGGGCATCGATGCTCTCGTGGGGGTCATGTGTCAGCCCCTGAAGGGCATTGGAAGAGAAAAGGCCGAATGGCAAAAATCGGAGGTCTTGCTCAAGTTGTTGAAAGTCCTTGGCGCTCTCGTCGGCGGTCTTGGGGGCCTCTTTGAGGCCTCTTGGCGCTGTCTCAGGCACTCGTGGGGGGATCTTGGGACGTCGGGACGCCCTCGCGGGCCGTCTTGTATGTATGTATGTTTGTATGTATGTATGTATGTATGTATGTATGTATGTATGTATGTATGTATGTATGTATGTATGTATGTATGTATGTAGGCGTGTGTGTAAATGTCTAGGTATGCGTGTATATATGTATATGTGCATGTTTGGTTGTATGTATGTGTGGATGCATATGTGTATGCAGGTACGTGTGTGTATGGTTGTATGTAAGTATGTGTATGTATGGTTGCATGTACGTATGTAAGTGTGCACGTGTGTAAGAGTAGTTGTATGTATGTAGTGCTGTATGCGTCTATGTGTGCATGGCTATGTGTACGTATGTACGTATGTGTGTATGGGAATGTGTATGTATGCTTGTAGGTTTGAATGCGTGCATGCGAGTATGGTTGTACATGTGTATGTATGTGTTTGTATGCAGGATACAAATATATATATATATATATATATATATATGTGCATAGACATATGTATGTATGTGTGCATGTGTGTATGTGTTTGTGTGTATGTATATGTGTATGGATGAATGTGTGAATACATGTAAGTGCGTATGCATGTACGCATACATGCATGCATGCATACATGCAAACAGTTTGGTGTCTAGGTATGTGTGTATGTGCGTGTGCGTATGCATGTATGTATGTATGTATGGATGTATGTATGTATGTGTGTATGTATGTGTGTAGGTATGCATGTTTATATGTATGTGTGTATGTGTACGAATGTATGTATGAATGTACGATGTATGTATGTATGTATGCATGTATGCATGTGTATATGTATATAGGTATGTATATATGTATGTGTGTATGTATGCATGCATGCATGTATGTATGTATGTATGTAGGTGTGTATGTATGTATGTATGTATGTATGTATGTACGTATGTACGTATGCATATATATATATATATGAATGCATGCAGGCATGCATGTTGTGTGTACACGTGTGTATGTATGTGTATAGGTAGTTGCGTGTGTATGTTGTTATAGATTTCTGCATGCATGCATGCATGTATGTATGTATGTATGTATGTATGTATGTATGTATGTATGTATGTATATCGATCGATTAATACAGTTGCAGGACATATGCACATAGACAAGGAGATGTACATCTCGTCGCCCTCTTACCGGGGCCGCGGGGAGGGATTGGAGGGGCGGGGCAAATCCAAGCGAGCAACCCAAACCTGGGACATCCTGAGGTCTTCAATGCGAGGTCCCGGAAAGTCCCGACCATTTCCACGGGGCCGACTCTTCATCGCGAGTCGCTTGTCGACGGCCCCGTGGCCCAGCGAGGGCTTCCAGAGACCGAAAACGGCCAAAGCATCCCGTCGTGACTTCTTCACGACGTGAGCATGTCTGAGAAGCCAGGGCCAGGCGGGAGCCCCCCGTGGGTCCGCACCACGGGTCGCTCTAGCGAAGGGTTGCGCATACGCCTAGCCGATGTGGTGCGGTCCGCACGAGTCAACCCGGGAAGCCAGAGCCCGGATTCACTGGAGGATGTCGAATGAGCGCTGAGCCGACATGAGAACTCTGGATAGGGCATTTATCAAAGGGGGGGTGATTGACCTTCCGACGGAGCTTACCCATCCCGCCCCCCCCTCCCTCCTCCTCCCCCTCCCCTCCCTCCTACCCCTCCTCCCCTCCTGCTCCTCCTCCTCCGACCCCCATCCACTCGTTCCGACAGCACGTGTCCAGACCCCCCCCACGGATCCAAGGGGGGGTGCAATTATTGTCCCATCCAAAGTACACGCATACGATCAGAAATCCTGCTGCAAGAAACATCGGGGCGCGCTCTTCGTCGATCTCTGGGGGTCCTGTATGTGTCCCAGAAGCCTCTGCGGGCCTCTGGCTCCAAAGACTTCCGTGGGGCACCTGCCGACAAGCCGATCTTTGTGTGACATGCCTACTGTGGGGACGGCTCCGCCCGCTGCGATCCGAAACAGCCAACAGGGGGGCTCCGCCCCCGCCGAGGGCCCCGAGTCGACTGCTGCCGCGGGCAGCCGTCACGACCCGGCGCCGCTCCAACGCCCGCCGCGGCGCGCTTACGTGGCGAGATTGGCACCCGCTGGGGGGGGGGGGGGGAATACGCACCCTCCCGCATGCTCATCGAGAAACCTGGAGTGCACGCACGACAGAAGAGACGCCGGCAACCTCAAAGGAGATTCAACACGTGCGCCCCCCGCTTACAATGGAAGCTACACTTCTGCGCGAGCTTAGTGACGAGCTTGGACCGGAAGTCATACTGGGAAGATAACTCCCCTCCCGCGGCGGCCGCTGCTGGGGCCCGTAGGGATTCCCAAGGAGGTCCTCGGATTCCTCAGGACTCCTACGGACTCCTAAGGGATCTTCGGAATCCCCTGAGATCCCCAAGGATTCCTGAGGATCCGTAGGCTTCCTGAGGATAGGATTCCTAGGAATCCTGGGAACTCTAAACGGGATTCCGAGGAAATCCCAGAGATTCATGGGAAACCAAGAACTCCCGTAGGATTCCTGAGAGTTCCTTAAGATCCTTGGGAATCCGAGGGGGAGGGCGACGAGGGCGAGGAGGGGAGCACGAGGAAGAGGGCGAGGAGGGAGAGCGAGGAGGGGGAGGAGGGGAAGGACGAGGAGAGGGAGGACAAGGGTGAAGGCGAGGGAGGAGGGCGAGAAGGGGAAGGACGAGGAGGGGGAGGAGGAGGGCGAGGAGGGGAGCACGAGGAGGAGGGCGACGAGGGAGAGCGAGACGGAGGGCGAGGAAGCGAGGGGCGAGGAAGGGAGGGACGAGCAGTCCCAGCCGCGAGCTCAGGGGGGGGCCATCCTTGAAAGGCCCTTCGCGGCTATACTCGCTGGACGAACTGGCCGCCACCGCCACCGAAGCCACCGCCGCGAACCGCTGGCCGATGCGGGGGGGGGGGGGCAGGGAGGACGAGGACGAGGGCGGAGCACGGGAGGCGAGGCCACGCGAACGGCGGGCCGGGCACCCGACGGGCCGCGAGAGGAAGAAGCCCCGAGCGGATGACGGCCAGGACCTCCGCAGGTTGTGCTTATGGCGGTGTCTCCTCTTCGAGACGTGCGGGACCTCCCTGAAGGATCGATCCGCGAATGCCCCGGAGGCCCGAAACGGGGTAAGAGCGCCGATCGTGTTTTGTTGTTCGCGACGCTCAGATGTCAGGGCCCCCCTCCCCCCAGATTGGTTCCCCAGCCGCAGCGTCGCCGACGGAAGGCCAACCAGAAACTTCCGAGATCCTCCTGATCAGGAAAACAAGCGGAAGGGCCGAAGCTATGGCCACAGCTCGGCGACGCGCCAGGGGAAGTGGCGCGAGAGAGGCGGGGGCTTCTGAAGTTGGCAGGGGGCCTCTCCGAAGCCCTCCTGCCTCGTGCCTTCTGAGAAGCCTTCTTCGAAGCCTCCGAGTAAGGACCCAAACCTCAGACGTCTTGATTTTTGTCGCAACGTGGGGTCCCGGAGGTCTCGACCTGTCCTAGCCCCGACAACTGGGCAACCTGTTTACCTGTTTTATATGTTTACCCGGTGACCTACCAGTCTCCGATACCACGCTGTTTCTGTGAAAGCTAAACATGTTATACGCAGCTAGCTGGAAATACGTTACGTCACGTTCTAACTGCATCCTGTCACACACTGCGCTCAAGGGAACATCGTTCGCGATCCAACGACCAAGAAAACGCATTAGGTGAACCGCGGCCATCGCCTCACACGCAGTGGAACTCGGAGCGCCATGTATTGGAAACCTCCCGCATGCCATCTTCACAAATTTTCTCGGAGACCTCCCGCAACGAACAATCCAGCCACCAGTTCCCAAGGAACCGTGAAGACCGCCATCAAAATTGCAACGCACGTAGTTCCCACTCGGTCGCAGTGAGGCTTCAATGTCGACGACGGGCCTGTCGAGCGCAAAGCCCTCTCCCGCAAGAGTATCGGCTTCTGAGTCTCCCTGTACACGTGATGGTAAAACTCACCGTGGGCATCGTGCGGCAGCAGGAAGGAAGAATTCAACGGTAGGTCAAGACAACTTGTGCACGTCGTGACGACCGTCTGGTACGGCCTGTACTTCGCACACCATCGTCCTTGAAGCCAGCGTATGACGCTCAAGTTGTCGCCCGTGATGGCTAAACGAATCGCAGGTGTGGCCGGAAGACTACCCCAAGAAACTGCCCATGGACTGACATGCCGCGGTCGTTTCCGGCAGGGCTACGGTGCCAGACGACCAACTGTAGGGGCATACCGATATTCCAACTCCCTCAGGTTCAAATACGAATAAGCTTTTGCGATGAGCTCACCTTTCAACCGTTGCCACTCCTGCGGTTCGCGAGCGTAAATTTCCCATTGAATCCCGAAGGCGAACAGAAAAGACCGGATTTATCCTCGACCTCGTCCTAGCCCCGCCCGAGGAGGACCAGCGCAGGGGGGGAACACCGAGCAAGGATCGACGATTCATCGCCGAAAGATCGGCGATCGGCCCGCTATAGGCGAATCCACCGGTCCTTGGCGGGGCGGGCTATCAGGCCCCTATCGGCGATGCATGGGCGATCTAAGTCCGTCCTAGACCCAGGGCCCGGGACGGGCTCTTCATCCCGAGTTGTTTTACGGTCCCAGGGCCGTGTGAAGGCCCCTGGAGGCCGAGCATGGCCGAAAACCTCCCGTCGTGGTTCTTGTCACAGCTCGAGGGCGTCTGGGGAACCCCTGCTTTCTCATAGAAGGCCGCCACCCTTCCACCCCATTGAGGGGCAACGATGAGGTGAGATTGGCTGAGAGCGATGGGGGACATCGACCCGGAATCGGCGACGCATCGCCAGTAGATCGGCGTTAGGCTGTCGACAGAGAATCCGCACATTCCTGGGCGGGGTGGGCTATCGGGCCCCTGTTGGCGACCACTGTGCGATCTGGGGTCGATGCATCCCCCCCTGAACCCATCCCTCCCCTCACGGTGCCCCTTGGTTTTCGTGTCATAACTCGGCTCTCCGGCGGCCGTTCGGGACGATCCGGGCGCCCCCGGAATGCTCTCGGGGGGAGGGGGCGGCTGCTGGAAGGCACCCCGAGCACAGAGCCGACGAGAACGTCCAAAAGCCTCGAACCTCGAACCTCGCAGTCGCGACGCGCCTCGCACCTCGAACCTCGAACCTCGAACCTCGCAGTCTGGAGCTGTTTCATAGCGCGTCGCGACGGCGGCCCCGGCGACACGCTATGATTTGCAAGCGGATGGCACATCGCTCCGCTCCGCGGGCCGGGAGGCTGGGAAAGGCTCGGGACGTTGAAGCCTGGGGACCGCAATGTGAATAGCGTGTCGCGGCGAAGCGTGGTGGGACAGAACCGGCGGAGCGACACGTAATCCAAAGTTCGTGACCGTACCCCCCATTACCGTTGCCCCTGATGTGCGCGCCGCCAGGCGGCTGCCAAAAGCCCGCCTGCTCCTTCTCCAGGTTCCGCCGCTGCCGCTCGAGCCTCTGCACCTGCCCCTCGAGCTCCTGAGTGCCTCGGCCGCGCGAACGCGAAACGGGAGAGGATGACCATCCTCCTTCTACTCCTCCTTATCCTCCTGCTCCTCCTCCTCCTCCTCCTCCTCCTCCTCCTCCTCCTCCTCATCATCATCATCATCATCATCATCATCAGCAGCAGCATCATCATCATCATCAGCATCATCATCGTCATAATCAGCTTCATCATCATTATCATCATCATCATCGTCATCATCATCAGCAGCAGCAGCATCATCATCATCGTCATCATCATCATCATCATCATCATCAGCATCATCATCAGCATCATCGTCACCCATCATCAGCATCAGCAGCATCATCATCATCATCATCTGCATCAGCATCAGCATCAGCATCATCATCATCATCATCAGCAGCAGCATCATGATCATCATCAGCATCATCATCAACAGCATCAACATCATCACCATCATCAGCATCATCATCACCAGCATCATCATCATCATCATCAGCAGCAGCATCATCAGCAGCATCATAAGCATCATCAACATCATAATCAACCTCAACATCCATAATCATCATCATCACCATCCGCATCGCCATCATCATAATCGGCATCAGCATGATCAGGCATAGCATCATCAGCATGATCAGCATCATCACCATCATCATCACCATCATTATCAGAATCCTCAGCCAGCAACAGCATCATCAGCACCAGCATCATCAAAATGATCATCAGCAGCAGCATTCATATCAGCATCATCAAAGTCGTCAGTATCATCGGCATCATCATCATCATCATCATCATCATCATCATCAGCATCATCATCATCATCATCATCATCATCATCATCATCATCATCATCATCCATCAGCATGGTCATCAGCGTCATCAGTATCGTCATCGTTATCACTTCATCGTCGTCAGCATCATCATCAGCAGCATCATCATAAGCATCATCACCACCATCATCAGCACCATCATCATCATCATCATCATCATCATCATCATCATCAGCATCTGCATCATCATCATCAGCATCATCATCATAATTATCGTCATCCTCCTCGCATCATCGTCATCATCACCATTAGCATCATCATCATCAGCATCATCATCATCATCAGCATCATCACCATCATCATCATCATCATCATCATCATCATCATTGTCATCATCATCGTCATCATCAGCATCATCATGGCCGCTGACGCCGCCTGTTTCGTCATCGACCTGATCATCTTCACCATCGGCATCATCGCCATCGTCGTCGCCGTCGCTGCCGATATCCGTCGCCATCAACACGCTGCACGCTGATCCTACAGAGAAAGAGGAGGAGGAGGAGAAGGATGAGGAGGAGGAGAGGAGAGGAGAAGAAGAGGAGAGCAGAGGAGAGGAGGAGGAAAGGAGTAGGAGTAGGAGTAGGAGTAGGAGTAGGAGAGGAGAGGAGAGAAGGAAAGGAGGAGGAGGAAGAGGAGGAGGAGGAAGAGGAAGAGGAGGAGGAGAGGAGAGGAGAGGAGGAGGAGGAGGGAGGAGGAGGAAGAGGAAGAGGAGGAGGAGGAGAGGAGGAGGAGGAGGAGGAGGAGAGAGAGGAGAGGAGAGGAGAGGAGAGGAGAGGAGAGGAGAGAGGAGGAGAGGAGAGGAGAGAGGAGAGGAGAGGAGAGAGAGGAGAGGAGAGAGGAGAGAGAGAGAGAGAGAGGAGAGGGAGGAGAGGAGAGAGGAGAGGAGAGGAGAGGAGAGGAGAGGAGAGGAGAGGAGAGGAGAGGAGAGGAGAGGAGAGGAGAGGAGAGGAGAGGAGAGGAGAGGAAGAGGAGGAGGAGAGGAAGGAGGAGAGAGGAGAGGAGAGGAGAGGAGGAGAGAGAGGAGAGAGAGGAGAGGAGAGGAGGAGAGAGGAGAGGAGAGGAGAGGAGAGGAGAGGAGAGGAGAGGAGAGGAGAGAGAGACGAGAGGAGAGGAGAGGAGAGGAGGAGAGGAGAGGAGAGGGGAGGAGGAGGAGGAGGAGGAGGAGGAGGAGGAGGAGGAGGAGGAGGAGGAGGAGGAGAGGAACCGTCGGCCCGTGCGGGCGGACGTAGCCGCCGGCTCCGTGCCGACGGGCGCAACCGACGGCCCAGTGCGCGGCGGCGCGGGCAGACGTCCGCGAGGATGGGAGCCGCTTGGCAGGAAGGCCACGGCCAGCCAGAGCTTCAAAAACTGGGCAGGACGCCGCCCCGTAGGGGACTGGGGGGGGGGAGGCTCTGAGCTAGAGTGGACGGGTCGACCCAGACCTCCAGGCGTCACGAAGAGGTCGTGGCGGCCGGTTCTGCGAGCCTGGGCCTCTGGAGGCCCCTGGAAGGCCGCTACGACAAAGCCCACGACGGGAAAAAGGTCCCACGGAGAGGGTCGCGGATTGACAAAACCACCTCGGCGGAAGTGTGGGAAACAAGGAAACGATCAGGGGGGACTGACTCAGGGGAGGGGGACATCGGCCGGGAATCGGGGATACATCAACACCGGCTGACCAGCGATAGGCCGACGATAGTAAATCCCCACGTTCTCGCGCGGGGCGGGGGGGTCGATCCCTTCTCCCCCCCTGGGCCCATCCCTCCCCCCACGTTGCCCCTGGACCCGGAGCTCTCGCAGGGGCCGCGGATTGACACGGCCACCTCGTCGGAGGTCTGGGATCTGGGGCCGGGCACAGCTGGCCGGCCCCAGGAAGCCCCGTGGACACCGGCGCCGACCCCTCCCCTGCGGGGAGGACGGGAGGTTGACTTACAGGCGACAAGATGCGAAACCCACTACTGTGAGGGAGCGCATTTCTTCTTGCGTCGCTGCGCGACAGGGGCAGTCCGCACACGCGTCCAGGCAACCCGGGCGACGGTATTGCGAACTGCCCCGCCTGCAAGAGGAAGGAAGAAGACGAAAAGCGGACGCGGAGACAGGAGGCGAGAAGAGAGCGGCGCACTCACGCGGCGAGGCCGCGGGGGAGCGCGGGGGGCGGCCGGGCCGCAGGGCAGCCCCTGGCAGCGAGCGCGGGGCGGCGTCGAAGGGCGCACCCAGGCGAGGAGCCGGCGGCAGCAGTGCAGGGCGGTGCCCAGCAAGTGGGGAGCTGCAGGAGGGGCAAGCCGCCAGGGTGGCGGGCCGGGGCGCGTTAAGGGGGCGCTGGTGGTGCCTGCGCGGGACTGCTGCGGTGGGCTGGGCGCGTGGCCCAGCGCCGGAGCGGCGTAGCGGAGGCGAAGCGCGACCGCGGCGAGGGGAGGGAGAGGCGGCGAGAGGCGGGGCAGAGAGGCCAGGCAAAGCCCGGTAGCCAGAGAGAGTCCCGGCGCCCGGCTGCCGCAGAGCGGCGCGTGGAGGCCACACAACAGGGGGGGAACACACAAAGACAAAAAAGAAGGCAGGTGCTCGCTTCTTGAGCCAAGGGACCCCCCGCGGGGGTGTCCGCCACTCCCGCGTCGTTCGGACCCGCCGGGGTAGGGTTTGCAGGTGGCCGCAGACCTCACGCCAGCCTCCGCAAAGAGCCTGCACCGACAGAGCCGCCCTCGCGTCACAATCCGCTGGACCTCCGTCCGGTGCGAGGTGCCAGCCCCTGGGGGCCCCCGACGGCGGAGCCTTCTCTGCGAGGCGGTGCCGTGTCCATGTCCACCGACGTCCTGGGACCCTAGCGGGTGGAGGGTACGGATACATCTTAGCTCCAAGCGGCCCGAATAGGTCCACACCCAACGCCTGCCATAGGTCCCCGAACATCGACACCCTGGGCGGTGGTTATGGATAGATCCCGGCCTCGGCTTCTCCGAAACGCCCTGGCTCATGTGTTCGACCATGGGCCCCTCTGGGGAAACCAAGAAGCACCGATACCGCTCCTCCCCAGACCCCTCCTGGGGTGCGTCCTGACGAAAACTGTGAGGCGAACCCAGCGGTGGCGACGAAGACCTCCCAGGAGGCCCAGAAAGGCGAAAACGAGGCAAGGGTTGCAGATGCCATGACAGTTCAAATTAAAGTCTTGACAACAAAAATCGCCTACGTGTTTGAAACATGTCCGAAACATGTTTGAAACATGTCCTGGCAATTTAGAAGCATGTTTCAAACATGTTTGGGACATCTGGAAATGATTGGCCAAGATGCCGCCTCTCCACGAGGCAAGGGTAGCGGCAGCGGTTGGTACCTCTCCCTTCTCTGACCCTCGACACCCGTCGGCCCTCGGCGGCCTCTGGCGGCAGTCGGGGGCAGCCCGCGGTCTTCGGCGGCCAGCGTCGGCGGTCCTCGGCGGCCGTCAAGCGGTCGTCGTTGGCGGTCTTCCGAGAAGGCCTTCCGACCGTCTTCGGCGGCGCCCCCTGCGCGGAAGCGGGCCGGCTGCGCTTCACGCACGAGGCTGAGGAGCAGCTCCTGAGAGGCTTTGGCAAAACTGGTAAGAGGCTACTACCCTCGTCAAAATTAACCTCAACAGTTGCTGGCACGTCATTTCGATTTCGGCGCGCCCCTCAATGTCGAGACGCCGCCCCTTCAATGTCGGGGCGAGGGCAAAGATAGTCTGACCGAAGTTGACTCGAAAGTTTGACGTCGACCGACATTAGAGGGGCGGCGCATGCATGCACCCCGCACTCATCGATACTCGGCCCCAGATCTTCCGACAAGCAGTTCAACCACGTCAGACATTTTTGAGGTTAATTTTGACGAGGGTTGTAGTAGGCCCGATCAGGGAGCGGGTAAACCGGATCAGATACGGGATCAAGCCCAAGCGAGCGGGATGAAGCCAGAGTGAGCGGGAGTGTACCAGATTGGGCGGCTTGACCTCGCGTCCACCAGCGCCGGTGCCGCAGCCAACCTCCCAGGAAGTGCATCCCAAACAGGGGGTCCATGATGGAACGCCTGGCCTCGCGATCGGGGGCGGCCAAGAGGGGGGCGTCCAAAAGGGGGGGGTGCAAATCATGGCCGGCGGCATGTGCGCGGCCCAGGGGGGGGGGCGAGGGCGTAATGAAATAAGAAGAGTCGCCATGAAATCTGGGGACATATCATGGCCCACGCCATGATATCCACCCCCCTCTAGTCATCACCCCCCTCTTTGCCGCCCCCGACGCGAGGGCGAGGGCAGGAGCCGGGACGCGGCACGGCCGAGGCGGCCGCGGCGGTGCTGGAAGCTCTTCATGTCCTTCAGAGAGAAGCGCAGCGTGCCGAGCTCCTCCTGCCGTGCGGCGCGGCTCTGCGGCCACGGCGCGTGCACGCGAGGAGCCGAACGCGCGCGAGGGGTGCCGAGAGCAGCGCGGCATGCACCACGGTTATGATCTGCCACCCCCAGGCCTCACTGGGCGCAGGTCGTTCCACGAGTCACCAGTGCTTCCAACATCCTTCTCCTTCGGGGAGGGGCCTACCGCTCCCGCATGCCCCTCTGGACCCCAGGCCTCACTGGGCGCAGGTCGTTCCACGAGTCATCAAATCTTCCAACCTCCTTCGAGAAGGGGCCTACCGCTCCCGCATGCCCCTCTGGAACCCTCCCCCACGACACGCTAGAGCGTCCAAGATGGCCCACTGGCCCCAGACAGCCCAAGATGGCGTCGAGGGTCGCACAAGAGAAGCGGCCCAAGAGTGCCAAGAGCGCCTCAAGGGAGGAGGAGGAGGAGGAGGAGGAGGAGGAGCAGGAAGGCATCACACCTAATGTCAGTCTAATGTTAAAAAGGGGGAGCAGGAGGAGGAGGACCAGGGTAAACTAGAGAGGGAGGAGTATAAGGAGAAGGGAGAAGAGGGAGGAGGGAGGTATTTAGGAGGATAAGGATCAGGACGAGGAGGAGAAATGGGAGGAGCGGGAGGAGGGAGGAGGGAGGAGGAGGATAATGGAAGTGGGGGACAAAAAGGTACCGATACCGCTACTCCCTGGGCCTCTCCCGGGGTGCGGTCTGACAAGAATCTCGAGGCGAACCCAGCCGTGGCGACGACGGCGCCTCCCAGGAGGCCCAAGAATGCAAAAATGAGCGAAGGGCAGCGGAATCGGCACAGCACACCGCAGTTGGAGAAAAAAGCGAGGGGGCGGCGGGGTCGTCGGCAGTCTGCGAGGCTCTGAAGAAGCCCGCCTCAGGTGCCGAAATTTTACAAATTCTACAACGAGCCCGCCGCACGCACCGATTTGTTCTTCAAAACAATGTGGGTGGGTCGCGGGTGGGTCGCGGGTGGGTCGCGGGTGGGTCGCCGGGTGGGTCGCGAGATGGATCGCGGGGTGGGTCGCGGGCGGGGACGAAAACAACAACGCAACAACAATGACAACAGTAACAGCAACAACAGCAGCAGCAGCAACAGCAGCAGCAACAGCAGCAGCAACAGCAGCAACAACAACAATAACCATCATTTTAAGACTGTCCACTCTTACTGGCACGCCCCCAACCGTCGATACCCGCCCACTTCGTCTTCGATTGTACCCCTTTTCGGGTGGAATATCTTCCTTGTCGGACACTGACTGAAGTGCGAAGAAGTCTTGAGCGAGAGCGCTGTTCCTGAATTCGGGGGCTTCTCTGGTCAGAGGCTCTCGGAATACCTACGGAGAAATATCGAACGGGAGCCCTTGTCGCCGTGTCAGGGCTTCCACCAACTTGCCTGAATTACGGGAAACTCTCGAGCGAGAGCGCCGTTCCTGAGTTCGGGGGCCTTCTTGGCCAGGGGCTCTCGGAGCAAAACGCGAGGAAGTATCGAGCAGGAGCCTTTGTCGCCGTGGCTGGGCCTCCGCCAACTTAATCGAATTGCGAGGAACTCTCGAGCGACAGCGCCGTTCCTGAGTTCGGGGGCCTCTCTGGCCAGGGTGTCTCGGGGTAAATTGTGAGGAAGTACCGAGCGGGAGCCTTTGTTGTCGTAGCTGGGCCTCCAAGTGCCCACATTTAGGCTCAAGCCAACGCTCGAGCGGGAGCCTCGTTTTCAGAGAAAATTTAGCCCGCGTCGAAGAGAGAGCGCGCGGTACCGCTTCCGGAGATCAACAATAATTATTATTTAGACATGAGTATTCAACAACAACAATAACAACAACAACAACAACAACAACAACAAACACAACTACAGCAGCAGCAGCAGCAACAACAACAAGAACAATAGCAAGAACAATAACAATGATAACAACAAAAACCGCAACATCAACAACAACAGCAGCAACAATGGAAAGAATAATACCAACCACAACCACAACAACACGGACGACAACAACAACAACACCATCAACATCAATAACAACGACGACGACAACAACAACAAACATTGTAAGCCTTTTCGCTCCGATTTGCTCACGTGCCAATCAATACGTATATCCCAAACCCTCGGTACCCGCCCTCGTCTTCTTCAATCGTACCCCGTTGGGGGTATATTTTCCTTGCCTGCCACGTGCAGCTTGTGCAGCCCTTAAAACAAGGGAAGAGAGGACGGGTGGAAGGGGGAGGGAGAATAATGGAGCACGAGAGAAATTAGCAGGAGGGAGGCAAGGAGCAGAAAACAAGTGGTAGAACCAACCAGACGGGCAGATCGGGTGGGCAGGCCCATAGCGGGCAGGTCGGGAAGGCGGGCCCAGACGACGAGGTCGAGCAGGCGGATTGCTAAAAAGTAAGTCACGCATGAATCGCGAGGAATTCTCGAGCAATAGCGCGAGTCCCAAGTAAATCCTGAGAAAAGCCAAGCGAGAGCGTGATTCCTGAGCGCCGATGGCGCATCGTCTGAATAAATTGCGAGGAAGTCCCACGCGAGAGCGCGATGCGTACATGAACTGTGAGGAATTCCCGCGCGAGAGCGCGATTTGGGAATACGTTGTAAGGAAGTATCAGGCGGGAGCCGCTGTTGTTGCAAATCGGGCGCCAGGGGACCAGTTTGAGCCTAGTGCCTTTCCCTGATAAAAACCAAGTGCGAGCCCCGGGGGAAGCACCTCAATTGAAGAAACACAATGGTCACCGGAGAGGTGAATCAACAATAATTATTTTCAGGAATGAAAGTTCAGCAACAACAACACCAGCAACAACAAAAACAACAACAACAACAACAACAACAACAACAACAACAATTACTAGCACGTGGGGACACACCGTTCTCACCAGTGCCAGGGTTTTCATAGGAGGCGGGCAATACCCCCACTTTGTGGGGGGGCCGGTTCAAGCTCTACCAAATTTCCAAACGACTCTTCGCCACCACCCACACCCAGCTTCCCGCCCTATGACGTTCGGACACTTCACTTCGTGGCATGCGGACGACCGTGGCTACTATTCAGGGCCCCGCGGCCGACGACGACGGCGTGCGCGCGCGAAGAAAAAACGAATGTGTCCCGCATGGTATTATTTGACAGGGATGATGGCCCTGGCAGGTGCGCAACCGTTGTTGCAGAAGTTCGTGAAAAAGTTTGCTCGCAAAAGCCCGTTTGACAGAAATGATTAAAAAGTGTTGGGTTTCCTACAAATCCGCAAGAGCGCGCGGGATGAAATTTTGACAATTTTTTTTTTGAAAAACCATTGGTTTTTTGATGTTTTTATGTTAAAATCGCTACGAAAACTAAGGTTTTGGAAGGATTTCGTCTTGCGCGCGCGAATGTCCACTTTACCTTATTTTTTGCAAGGGATTCTTGAAGTTTGGTTATGTTAGAACAAGAAATGTCCACTTTAGCTAATTTTTTGCAAGGGAAAACCGATCGTAACAACACAACCGGATCCGGACTCCCCCGTTTTGCCTGAGACTTCCTCACGAAAATGATGAAAATGAGGCTGCGGCCTAGGCGCGGCGGGGGGGTCGTGCACCAGGGGTCCCAACAATAATTATTCTTTAGAAGTAATAATGTTCAACAACATTAATGTTATGACTGTTCGCCCTTATATGATCGAGTGTCCAATAACGCGTATTTCCCAAACCCTCGATACCCGCCCTCTTCGTTTTCGATCGAACCCCTTTTGGGGGGTATACCTTTCTTCCCTGCAGGCCGGGCCCCGGCAAGCGGCGGGGCGGCCGCGGACCGTCGGCCTGGCCAGCGGCAGCGCTGATCGGCGGGGCGGCCGCGGACCGTCGACCCGACCCCAAGAGGGACGGACAGGGGACCGACCACGACGACGACGACGACGACGACGACGACGACGACGACGACGTCGAAGACGACGGCGACGACGGCGACGACGAGCGAAAGCGAGAGCGAGAGAGAACGACAGCAGGGCCACGAAGGGCACGAAGCAGGCCACGAAGGGCGACAGCAGGGACACGAAGGGAATGCGTATGGGACCACGAAGAGTGCGAACGAGCGGGGGCCACGAAGTGCAGATAATGCGGGGCCACAGAAGGCAACTATGGGGCCAGAGGGTAGCAACTGGGCCACGTAGGACAATGAGGGGGACACAAATGGCGACAGCGGGGCCACGAAAGGCACGCACATGGGGCCACAACGGGCGCGACTCCTGGGTGCCTGGGTGTCGGGAGAGCGGCGCTAGGGCAAATTGCGGAAAATTCCAACGCAAGGCTATTCTTCAGTAAGTTGCAAGCAAGTTTCCAGCGAGAGCGCGACTTCAGAGCTCCGGGAGAGCGATTCCTGCAGAAATTGTAAAGAAATCCCAAGCGAGAGCGCGATTCCTGAATAAAATGCGAGGAAGTCTCGGGCGGGAGCGGGGGGCCTGCCTAAATTGTAAGGACGTCTCAAGCGGGAGCCGTTACTGTTGTAACCAAGGGGCCAGGGGCCCAGTTTGAGCAGGAAGACTTTCCCTCTGAAAAAACAGGGTGCGAGCGTCGAGGGGCACACTTTGATGGGGAAAAAACAATATGGACCGGTGGGGGGATCAACAATGATTATTTTTCAGAAATGAAAGCTCAACAGCAGCAACAACAACAACAACGACAACACAACAACGACAACAATATCAACAACAACAAACAGTTTAAGACTGTTCGTTCTTACCTGCTACCTGATCGCGTGCCATTTAGTACGCGTGTCCAAAATTCCAGATACCCGCCCTCTTCGTCTTCGATCGTACCCCCTCTGGGGGTACATCTTCCTTACCTGCCGCGCGTAATTGGTGCAGCCCCTAAAACACGGGGAAGAGAGAACGGATGGAAGGAGGAGGGACAAGGATGGAGCACGGGATTAGCAGGAGGGCTACGAGCAGAAAGCACGTGGCAGAACCAGATGGGCTGATCGAGCGGGTAGACTCGAACGGGCGGTCGGGAATGCGGGCCTAATCGGCCAGGTCCAGCAGG